AATATGTTTTTTAAAAAAAATAAAATCCTGATCACTTGCCCAGAGTAGTTCAATGTTACTATGGTAACATTGTATTGCTTTGGTCACAGTGTGCTGAAAAATAAAATAGTAAAATAAAATATATATAAAAATACAAATTCAATTAATATTATTAATTTCACCAAAGAAATGTAGCAGAATACATTTTGACCTAAATTTATGAAGAAATGTTATTTATTTGCAAAATGTTATAACAGAAATGAAGAAAAGTGTGTTTTTTTTCAAAAGTTTCAGGTGTTTTGTGTTTTATTTAGCAAAAAATAAAAAACTCAGTGGTGATTAAATACAACCAAAAGAAAGCTCTATTTGTGTTAAACAAATGATAAAAATTTCATATGGGTACGGTGTTGTATGCCCGCACAATTGTCATTCAAAATGGGACAGCGCTGAAAGCTGAAAATTGGCCTGGGGAGGAAGGGGGTATAAGTGCCCTGTATTGAAGTGGTTAAAGAAGTGCTATCATTAGAATTTTTATTTTACACTTCTGTCCCCTAATGCACATAGTACACATAGTATTTTATCTCTGTTTCTAGGTGTGTTCTAACCCTAGTCAGCAGTACAAACCTGCCCCCTGACAACAACTATGAAGGAGACACCTGATTCATAGCTACAGCTTGAGCTGTGAGCACTGGCAATGACAAGAATGCAGAGGCTGATACATCCCACATCCCTTTGCATTCCTCATGCAGTTGCTTGTCTCGGCAAGCTGCAGCTATGAATAGACCACCTCCTTCATAGCGGTTGTTGATCGGGTGCAGCGGGAGGAAGAGGGGCAGGTCAGTACTCATAACTAGCAGCTACATGTAATTTGTGCCACTGGGGATAGAACTGTAAAATAAAATTTCTTATGACAGATCTTTTTGAATATTTTGGAGAGAGTAGGGAATGGATAAAAACCACTGTCAGTTTTTTTATAGTCTGTTTTTGATTAGGGAGATTTATCTGCACTTTCTGGTACAATAATAACAATGATAACTGAGCAATTAAGTCCCACGTAAGGGACAGAAACACAAAAAGTAATATGTGGTTGCAAATGTATCACATTTTCAGGGAAATCCAAAACAAAAATGTGAAGGACCGCTTGTCACTCTGAGTGGGTGATTCCATCAGAGAACTGCTTCCTCACTTCTTGGACACAGGACCAAGGTATTATAGCTAGCATCACACCCAAGTACTAGATGACAAGTTTTTAGACACTTCAGAAAGAGGGGCAGTCCTCACATGAACAATAAAAATAAATATTACACAGTGGGATAAACATCTCACACTGATTGGATAATGAGGTAAAGTTGACACAAGACTAATACCATCATGTAGGATCCTCCAGGAGGACTAGCAAACAGACAGAAACAATAGGTGACTCAGTTAACTCAATAAACAATGGAACAAATACACAACAGTAAACACATAACACCTTTATAAACAGATTACAGCAAGAGACTTCAGCATCAGGTTGTTTTGAGCTGATTATATTAACATCTACACCAAATCTCTGAGTCTGGGGGTGGAGTTGAAACAGTCAACGCTGGTTTGGGTACAGAGGCTCTAAATCTGTCCTCCAGTTCTCAGAGTCTATGTTTCGGGGAGATACAGACTTGAATCAGAAGTAAAGCTACTCCAAAGGTCCACCCAGGCACATGCCTCCCAAAGAATAGAGCCCATTCAGATGCCAGGGCCCATGGTAAGTAGGCAAGAGGCTAGCCTGCAGTCCCCTCCAAAAACCCCTGTCCCGGTTGGCTCTGTCAAAAAAGGAACAGTAGCATCCAGCACTCACTTCCGGAAGTGACGATATATGTCTGGGTACAAAGACCCAGGGCTTGGGGAGGTGGGGGGGGGGGGGTTCCAAACCCTTGGTGGAGGAAGAAAGTAAAATAATAAAAGAAGAAAAGAAAAAAGGAGAGACAGGGAAGGGCAGGGAGAGGTGGGGAGAGGAAAGGAAGACGTAGGGAGGAAAAGCAGAAAAGCTGGAAGGAGAAGAAGAAGAGAAAGAAGAGCAGAACTAGGTAGGACCGAAAAGAGGTACCTTTGAGCCAAATGGCATCCCACAGAGGCCTGGAATACCCAGGCTGGTTGAGGGCAGAATGGGAAGAGCATAGACCACCATGTACTCCATACTTAAAGCAATTTGGAATGGGAGTTGTGGAGTATGCTTGTTATTTTGTTTGTGGACCATGAGGGTGATCAAGATGATCTTCACTTCCACGAACCCAGCCGAGGTCTTCCTCCAAGCCCTGGCAATGATGATCTATGCAGCTATGAAAACATATGTGGCCAATTTCTGTTGGTAGGAGAAGAGGCCAGGGAGTGGGCAGTGAAGAAGTGCATGCCGAGTGTCTTTGCAGAAGGGTACATTAAAAAGGGTTGAGAGGAGGCCATAGACTCATGATCAAAAGCCCGCTATGCAGGACCACCAGATATGATGGATCTCATCTCCACATTGGCTGCAGCCCCTAAAACATCTATCACTATATGAAGGTTTTGAATGAGCTATGCAGGCTGGGACCCAGTACCAGTGGAGGAGGACCTGATAGGCCGCCTCTATGGATTTCTCTTCACTTTCATCCTGGAGACACAACGAGAGAGAGGAAATCTTTCCAACAGAAAGGGGAAATTTCCACTTCGATTGTTGTCACTAGAATATGTGTCCCCATCAGAAGTTTTCCCCTTATTTACTCCTCTGGTGGCAGCTTTAAAATGTATAATTTCCTATTGCTTTCTTGTCCCAGTGACAATAGTCTACAACCATGTACTTAGTGTTTTAAAGTATGTTTACTAATTATTTACAGCTTTTGTATTTATTTTTATTATTGCTTCAGAACAGTTTGATATTGGTACATAATCAATGATAATAATGAGAATTGTGAAGCTACAGAGAAAAAATATGTTTAGTCAGTGTGTGGTCACACCTAACGTTGAGCTCTGGCTTGCCTTCTCCAACCTCCTGCATTACTGGTTGTTGGAATGTGATGGATGTACTCTATGAATAATATTAAGGGAATCAAGGACAAGGAATGGTTTGGCTAAAGTTCAATTTATCAAGCTTTTTTTCAATACTTATAAACAAGAGTTCCCCAGGTTTCAGTTTAGAAAGCTGGTCTAGATGGCAATCCATTTCCATCCTGGGAACATTTGTAACCTAATGGGTAAAAGATTACGTGAGGGCGAGGAGGGATGCTGTTAACTGGGAGCCATGCCTTTGATAGGGATGGGCCTTGAGACTGAGATTTTGAGATGGAGATGCTTTGAAGCATCAGAGCATTAAACTGTGGAAGTACATGGGCAATTGTGACAATACATAGGCAACATATTGCTAGTCATGTCAATATGTGGGCAATGTAGTAGCGATTGTGTCTACAGGTGGGCAACTGGGATTGTGACAAAATGTAGGCAACAACTGAACAAACGTGGTAGAAGGTTTGTTTGTAACAAATGTTATGGCATACAGGAACATGGCAAAACTTTTTTATATAACAAATGCCATATTGCATTACCATGTATTTTTTTGTTTCTACATTGATTTTAATGCATGTTGCCAAAAAGGCAACATTTACGACATAAGACACTTTGCAAAAATGTAAACAAAGCAAAGATTACAAATTAAATACTAAAATATGTTACAACACTTCATTCATGTGACTACCACTAAACATCTCCCCATAGTTAAGTTGAACTCCAAGCACAAATTACATTTTATCCACTAAGCTCATCTAGGGAAAGTACAGAAACGATCATTGTTGCCCTAAGCTTCCATGTGATGGTCTTTCTAAACAGTAGAAGGTTAAGTGCACTTTAAGAATAAGTGTGGGGTTTTTTTTGCCCCTTTGCACTGACCTAATGTAACCAACCCTCCCCTTCCACATATGCATACTGATTTCAATTCGTAAGTTGCATCCTCCAGTGCATGTTTAAATCTCTGTCACAAATCTCACTTAATAGCCCTCTGGACTTCTATGGGGATGTCAGGGAATCCCTGTGAGATGTCTGGTGCACAGGCATGAACATGGTGTTTCCTACAGAATGGTGACCAGGCATGCACATGCATGCAAGAATGCACGCATGTGCAGATGCACAATTCCTGTTGGTGCCAGACTGCTATTTAAAGGATGCTCATGCCCATGTTCTGTGTCGACTGGTCTTCAGCTGTTCTTGTGTCCTGCTTATATCCTGTATCTAACCTCTGTTGCTGACTCAGTTTGCTATTGACCTGATCTCAGATCCTGATTTCTCTTCTGCCAAACCATTCCTGACCTCGGCTCAGCCCCTGACTACACATCTGCCTATGCTTCTGAAGTTTGTTGCCTTCCCGCTGCTGACCTTGGCTAGTCCTTTGCTTTTGCTTCTGTGTCTAATTTGGTTCCATGTTATCTCTTAGTGCCTGCTCTGGCTGTCAACCATTTCAACCTCAATCATCACAGTGGGGGTTTTTTACTGCAGAGTGCAAAACCTGGTGCAATTCTGCATAGAAACCAATCAGCTTCCAGGATTTATTGCCAAAGATTAATTGAACAAGCTGAAGTTAGAAGCTGATTGGCTACCATGCACAGCTATACCAGATTCTGAGTGCTCCAGTTTTAGTAAATCTCCCCCAGTGTTTTCAGTCTTCAGTCTGCTGGAAGCTCTGACAAGCCTTTTACCCTGGACATATGGTGCATGTGGAGTGCTTCTTTAACCTCAGCTGGCTCATCCTGTATGGCTGCTGCTGCTGACCTGCTGTCCTACCAGACTATCCCAGCCAGCATATCCTACTGCAAGTTCTACCAGCAACACCTTCCAGCACTCATGTTCCTCATGTCCCTTTTCACCATCTGTTCCACCTTCAGTGGGGCCTGGGCTGGAGATATAATAGAGGCCAACCTCATCTTCACAGTCTCCTATCAGGTACGTGACAGGAGAAGTGTCATTAGATTCAGGTGTTCCAATTGCCTCCATGACAACAGTTGTATAAAATCAAGCACCTAGGCATGCATACTGCTTCTACAAACATTTGTGAAAGAGTGGTTCGCTCTCAGGAACTCTGTGAATTCAAGCATGGTACCGTGATAGGTTGCCACCTGTGCAATAAGTCAATCCGTGAAATTTCCTTGCTACCAAATATCCCACGGTCAATTGTTAGTGGTATTATAACAAAGTGGAAGCAACTGGGAAAAACAGCAACTCAGTCACAAAGTGGTAGGCCACGTAAAATGACAGAGTGGGGTCAGCACATGCTGAAGAGCACAGTACGCAGAAGTCACCAACTGTCTGTAGAGTCAATAGCTAAAGTTCAAGCTTTGTGTGGCCTTCAGATTAGCACAACAATGTGTAGAGAGCTTCATGGAGTGGGTTTCCATGGCCGAGCAGCTTCATCCAAGCCTTACATCTCCAAGTGCAGTGCAAAGCATCAGATGAAGTGGTGTAAAGCATGCCACCACTGGACTATAGAGCAGTGGAGACATGTTCTCTGGAGTGATGAATAACTCTTCTGTGTCTGGCAATCTGATGGATGTGTCTGGGTTTGGCGGTTGCCAGGAGAATGGTATTTGCCTGACTGCATTATGCCAAGTGTAAAGTTTGATGGAGGGGGGATTATGGTGTGGGGTTGTTTTTCAGCGGTTGGGCTTGGCCTCTTGGTTCCAGTGAAGAACACTCTTAAGTCGTCAGTATACCAAGACATTTTGGACAATTGAATGCTCCCAAATTTGTGGGAACAGTTTGGGGATTGCTTCTTCCTGTTCCAACATGACTGCACACCAGTGCACAAAGCAAGGTCCATAAAGACAAGGATGAGCGAGGAGTTTGGGTTGGAGGAACTTAACTGGCCTGCACAGAGTCCTGACCTCAGTCTGATAGAACACCTTTGGGATAAATTAGAATGAAGACTGCGAGCCAGGCCTTCCTGTCTGACATCAGTGCCTGACCTCACAAATGTGCTTCTGGAAGAATGGTCAAATATTCCCATAGACACACTCCTAAACCTCGTGGACAGCCTTCCCAGAAGAGCTGAAGCTATTTTAGCTGAAAAGGGTGGGCGAACTCAGTATTGAACCCTACGGACTTACTTTTGGCAATATAGTGTAAGTATATATATATATATATATATATATATATATATATACACATATATAAAACTACTACTTTGAACAGATGTTGAAAATATTACAGTGTCTTGTAATTATGTATGTGCCACCTACTTAAATGTAAAAAAACAATATATGTTCACATATATCAGCGTTGTTTATTCTAAGGCATTATTGTGGTGTTTTTCACTGTATGTACAGTAATCCTCCTTATCTTGATTATCATACTTGTCAGCCAGAAGGAGTTAGCACAGTACTCTGCGGATACTGTTTTGTCACACACTTCCTAATAAATAAAAAGTATAACGATCTTCTTGTCACTAGTATTGACTGTTGTCACAAAATTATAGTTGTTTAGTTTATATGCTGTTTTGCTAGCTGTCGTATATACCGAAGCTAAAAGTATTCTATATTTCAGATTCTGATATTTTTTTGAGAAGTAAATAATGGACAACGGGTACACACAATATACTTACACAAACACTATTCTGTGTTTTCAGCAAGTACATCTGGAGTTATTACCGTAGACTTTACATGAAGGTAATTTCGATAAAGACTTTCATATTTTATATACTTGCTGTGTCATATTATTTATATATAATAATAACTAACAAAAAGCACCAAACACTTGTATCTCCAATACAGCTGCAAACCGCTCCGTGAGGACGTCAAATGATGAAACGCGCAGGGCGGGGCTTAATGGATGTGACGTCAGGACGTTCCTCGAGGCTGTTGGCTGGATCACCGTGGTGAACGAAGCTCGTCCTGGGATTGACAGCCTCTGCTTATGTGGTTTATGCTGGTGTCGGTTTAGACACCTTCTTTGTGAGTTTTTATTTGACATTCAATAAAGCCTATGTTTTAAAGAACGTACTGCACTATTATATTTCTTTCTAAATTCCCCAAGCATTGCCTTATTCATGGAGAGAGAGAGGAGGTTCGTTTGATAATAAAATTCCTTCATCCATGCTGGCTGATTGCAGAGTATTGCTCCCATACTTTTGGATAATTCAAACAGATCATCGCTCCCAGAGCAATAGCGATTATGCTGATTTATAATTTGATCAGCATATCGCTCTGGTGAGTTCATTTAATTCATTCGTTCGTGGATTTTTTTCTTCACTTTGTCAATTATTTATAAGATTGCTACATTGTTTATCACTTTATGGTGGTTGGACTTTATACAAGAATTGTGGACTTTTTTAAATTTAAATTTATATACAGATTGATACATTGTATATCACTTTATGGTGGTTGGACTTTATATATGAATTGTGAATATTTATTTTTATTTATTTAGTTTAGTTTATATTTTTTCTTGGTTAAAATTATTTTGTGACACTTTATTATTGATTAGCGCATTCCTTTTACTATTGATTATTTCATATTATTTATATATGGATTTGTAAATCTCCTTGTAGTGGTCTTCTGTATGTTAGTAAATGCAGTCAGCTTTCCAAGAGTCATCCTCTTTGTTATCCGCTATTGATCATTGTCATTTTGACAGAAAGTGATGGAAAATCCAAAATGTAATGGTTGTCACCAGAAGAGGAATGAAGAGGAAAGTTTTCACTGAGGACATCTGTTTTTTGGTAGCTATTGTCTAAGGGGAGATTTTCACTCTCCTTCAGTTTTGTTGTTTTCTCGGACATAATTGGCTTGATTGAAAGAGTTTTAGCTAATTTTTATCTCCTTTAGCTAAATAAACAAATGGCCAATCAAAGGCAATAATGAGAGCACATGTGCTGCAAACTAGCAATTTTCACAATACATGGGAAACAAACAGGCAATGGTGATAATACATGGGTAGCCAAAGACATTTGTTGCAATTTCAGGGCAACAAAGTGATTAATTATGGTATTGTGTGGCAACAAACAAGCAATCATAACAATAAGTGGGCAGCAATTTACCAATAGTGGCAATACATGGGCAACAAACAGGTTAGCTATAGAAATACTGTATTTGTCAAGAAATTGTTTTAATAATATGTGGAAACAAAATATCACTATTCCAATCAGTCAATCAGTGGCTGACTTGTTGAAACACCTGCAACAAAAAAATTAACAGATGAAACTGGCAAAGAAAAGTAAATATATTTTTTTAAAAGGCCACCTACAATCCAATACATTTAGGCTCCTTTCATACGGGGTGGACCTGTCAGCAGATCTGCTTGCTTAGTGGGGATCTCTCTCCACTGATCCCCTCTGAGCAAGTGGATGACAGGTCTGTGTCCGCTTTGCTGCTGCAGTGCCCACAGCCTACTGTTTTCTATGGGGCGGTTGGATGGAGACGGACTGCCTGTCCGTTTCCACCCTTCTGTGATCCAATTCAATCCACTGGATGGATGGGGGAATGTTTTTAGCATACAGGATCGGATCGGATGCCGGAGGGTGTCAGCAGACACATATCCACTGACACCTGCATCTCCATAGAGAGCTATGGATGGTCCGATCGGGTCCACCTGAAAAACTGACAGGCGGACCCAACCGGATCGTCAGTGTGATAGGGGCCTTATTTGAAGATTAATTCCTTTAAGCATAAAACAGAAGCCCTAACAGTTTGAAGCCTATCCATAAAGGAACAGTGAAAAAATTGGCCACCAATAACAAATGTAACAAATGGTTTCATCATGGTAATGTGTGGGCAACAAATAGGCAATAAATAGGCAACAAGTAGATTAGTCATGGTAAAATGCATGGATACCAGTCAGACAATTATGACAATACATGGGCATCAGACAGGCAGTAGTGATAATAAAAGGGCAACATACCAGTTTTTATGGGATTACCTGGGCAACAAACAGATTATTTGTTGCAATATGTGGACAACAAACAGATAATCACCACAATATGTGGAGAAAAAGGTCTACTACAGTGAACTAAACAGTAGCTAGGCCAGAGGGGACTACCACTCAGATCCTAAGTTCCTGGACTGCTAATGTAACCAAAAGAATGCTTTAAATTCTGATTTGCTTAACACAGTTTGCCTTTCATGTACATTTCTTTTTAGGCTCATCAGAACAACACAGTGCTCTTTTTAAAAAAAAAACTTCGGAACACATTTCTAGGGTAAAAAAAAAAATTAATTTAACCAAGCAAAAAAGGCTCCAATTTTCGTTTCACCTTGTTATTTCACAAATCATTAAACATAACAGCAATATTAAAGTAAATAGGCCCCTGCCCTGAAAAATATCAAGGGTCAAGGCATAAAGTTGTAATGGCTGCTTTGAGTGTCCATTAGGTTAAGCCATTACATAGAGGGTTCGGACATAATTACCCATATTTTGTCATCCTAAAACAGCAGATGAAGCTGTTTATGACTACCGATACAGCCCACCCAAGTTCCAAGTCTGATTGTGGTCAGAGGTCACCTCCATCTTCCATTCGATTATTATTTTTTCTAAAACACAACAACACAAAAGCCTAATTTTGGCAAATGTTAAAAGCATAATGGTAGACAGACAACAACATTTTTTTTAAAACATGAAATTTCTTTGCAGGGAAATCAAAACTCACTTGACATTTATATTTATTTTGCTCATTAATTTAGATTTGACAATTTTCTACAGCGTGGAAACACTGAACCATTCACATCAGTACCTGCCTTTTAGGAAGTTTACAAAATAATGTTCCCACAATAATCATACGCATGCATAATCTTTATTTTTATATTTATTTTAATTTATTTTGCTCATCATATTTAGATCTGACAATTTTCCACAATGTGTTACAGCACACACTGAACAATTCACTTCATTTCCTGCCTTTGAGGGAGTTTACAAAATAATTTCCCCACAATAGTCATAGACATTCATAATCTTTGTTTATATTTTATTATTATTTTTATTTATTTAGGACATTTATATAGATCTGACAATTTTCCACAGCGAGTTACAGCAAACACTGAACAATTCACATCAGTTCCTGCATTTGAGTGAGATTATAAAATAATTTCCCCACAATAGTTATAATCATGCATACACTCAGCAGAGCTGATATACCCACCCATAAGTTTTTGCACTGTGAGATGAAACGAAAAGAAAGGAAGAAGGAAAGAAAATGCAGATAGCAAAGTTGGTGCCAGCAAAATCCAGCACACCAGAGCTGTAAAGCATTTACTGAATAAAAACCCGTTGGACAAAAACCCACACAGCACAATAATAACGCCCAGTGTTATTCTTTACTAATGTTCACTGTGCTCCATTTTCTTCGGGACTGAGAAAGAAGCAGAATACTATTTAAAAATAATTAAATTAAAGGAATAAAAGCTTTGACCTG